TCACACATCATCACAAAAATCTCCAGAACTGTAAAGCCTACAAACTTGAAATTTGGCACATATGTTCCTCTTGGCTTCTAGGTGCTCACTAAAGAAAGGATTTTTCAAAATGACTTTCAGAGCATTTGTATTTCCTATATTATTATTAATATGCTCTGATGCTAAGGAGCTCTACTCCCCCTCCCCACCTGAAAAGAAATTTGTTCCAAATGCAAAACACAAGCAGAGGAGTTTCAATTTTAGTTTCAGAGCACTAAGCAGCTTTAGTACAGAACAGTTGAGCTAAGCCACGCCCAGGCTCCTTGCTGTCTCTTTCTTGCTCACACAGCAAATACTGTTTCAGTTTCCAAACAGCCCTCAACTCTCTCACACACTGACTGGATGCTAGCCAGATGAATACTGATGGATGCTGGTAGGCAGAGGCACATTTCCCCCTCCTTATTTTCCTGCCCAAAAACTAAGTCCGATCTGATAGTTTCGTAGTGAAGCACAGGTATAGAGCTAGATGATAATATATCAGGAAACATGAAAAGCCATTTTATGTACATATAGCCAACTTTATTGCTTCAGTACATCTTGTAGGAAGAGGCTACTGGAACAATAAATCTTGCTTGTTTCTTGCTTCTTCCTTCCTTCCTTCCTTCCTTCTATTTCTTCTACAAGAACAACCCTATGAGGCAGGCTAGCCTAAGAGAGAATTATTAGCTCAAATTCACCCAGCTGGCTTTCATTCCTAAGGCAGGACTAGAATTCCCAGTCTCCTGGTTTCTAGGCCAGCAACTTAACTACTAGGCCAGGGGTGTCAAACTCATGTCATCAAGGCGGCGTCACGTGACGAATTGGGACTTTCCCCCCTTCACTAAACCAGGTGTGGGCGTGGCCAGCACGTGATGCATCTGGCCAAGAGTTTGACAGCCCTGTACTAGGCTAAATTAAGTCCCACTTGGTGATTTTGTTATTTTTCTATTAGCTTCTCTGTATTTTTAATACTCTGAGTATTAATAATTGGTATTGTATTACCAAAAATTGGCAATACACCAATTATATAAATAACTTGTAAAAAGTTATTATAATCCGTAGATTCATAATTTTAGGATAATCCTGAAATCTTTTTATTTCCATGTTGAACATGTATTGGAAAGTACGGTAGCACATTTTTATTTCTTTTCTTTTCTTTTTATGTTTACCCTAGTGTGCACAACCTACAGCCTCCAATTCAGGACAAATACATCTCTTCAAATTTAGATTCACAGCTACATGAGCAAGAACGCATCATTACCATATCATACGCACTGGCTTCTGAAGCCTCTCAGCGGAGCAAAGAGGTAGCAGGTACTGCTCTATTTATAAAGCAGTGGCTGTGACAATGCATTGTTTTAGTTACACTGCTACATAACGTGCATTTACACCTTTCTTCTGGGCTACTGTATGTATTAGGGCATTAAGACCATAACTTTTTATGTTATTTAGGTGTCCTAACTGGATAATTTTCATTACGGAGCTGAACCACTGGATTTGAACCATGCATTGTATTAATCGGTATTCAGTGCTGAGTATAGTTTCATCCTACTTGAGTAGGAAAGAGATGCGACACAAAAAATTTTCTACAGCAAATCTTCATCTGCTACATCACACATTAAAATTAAATGAACATTATTCATGCCCAAAGTTTAGAAAGATTTGCAGTCATCAACATAATAAAGATTCCAAAATATTTGGTAGAAGTTTGAAGATGGAAAATTAGTCAACAATATGTTCCACTTAGTGCTCTGTGAACTGTTGAGCTAGTGGATTGTCTTCATACTGAAGGCAATCCTTGGCTCAGTGAAGGAGCCTTATGCCTTTGGTCAGGCTGTTTCCAAAAGAATCAATATGGCATTGGATGATCGTTATTTTAGGGGTGGGGTTTGCACTGAGGCCTTTGTTTTATCTTTCTATAATACCTCATCTTTTTTTTCTGTTCACATGTTCAGGCTTTTCCATCAAAATGCTGCAGAACTCATAAAAATAAAACAGTGAATTTTGACTGATTGTACTTTTCCAAGATTTAAATTTGGACTTGGAAAATTATTTTTGAAAATTTACTTACTTAATCTTCCTAAAGCTTGATGGGTTTCAGCTAATGTTTTTTAAAATCTTCTTGGAAACTAACAGTATATACAGAAATAGCAGATGAAGTTGTTCTTGCTAAATGGTGCTTCCTTTATACTTTAATATTTCAACATGTTACTAATACAGCATGATATTTTCATTGTATATAGCAGGGCCAGTATTATGTATTGCCTGCCGAGTTAATTTTCTATTTTATTAATTGATTTCAATTTCATTTTCAATTCTATTGTTGAGCTACAGTACAAAATCACATCTACATTTATTTTGTGATGTCAGCAAATGCTCTCTGATTCTTTTGATTTTTTTAAAAATATTATATCACAAATTGGTTATTATAAAAGCCTTCTCAAAAAGTAAGTCAGCACTTCAAGTTAATACCCATGACAGATTCTAGTCCATTTTTAAGAAAATCAGGTTCTATACTTTTGCTAGAATTATTTCCACTAAGATATACATCTTTTGATGCAGATAAGTAGAAAGTCAATCAAGAAATCTTGGTAGAACAAAATGTCTTAGTGAAAGTGAACATATAAATTTGTTTATTCATTAGATTTACATCCCACCTTTCCTTTAAAGCTATAACAACTCTTGAAGTAAATCAGGCCAAAAGACAATTATTGGCTCAAAATCACCCAGCAAGTCTGTATGGTTGTTAGGTTGAAGCTGGCTTGGATCACCACAATATACAGATTCTCAAGAAATTCTACAATGTCACAATATGCTTTAAGAGAACCTCGGTTTACACAGTTTTCCAGTGTGCTTGTCGGCAAGTGGCCACACTCTGATGAATTGGAAAGTATAGTTCTTTCTTCCTTTTTGAGGAAGGCACAACAAATAAAATAATAAAATAAAAATGACTCGGTGATTTTTTTCATATTTTAGAACTAAATTTCCTTGGTATAGAAAGCACATATGGATTTGCAAACAGTATTACAATTCATACCAATGGCTGGCCCTGTTATCTTGTATTCAAGCCCATTAAGCTGTGTATATCTCTGTGTGTGTGTGTGTGTGAAAGAGGAAAAACACAAAGAGCAATTGTGGTGCCTAATTCCTTTGTATGATCCCTTCTAGCTCCTCAGTTGATTTACCCAACTAAAGCACACTCACCTTCTGTACCTCAGCCACTCCCTTTAAGCAATGGATTTCACTACACATTTGTCTAAACACCTTGAAAGTAAGAACTAACTGCTCTTGCTATATTTGCCATTCATGATATGCTTTGCTGATGTTGGAGCTCTCTGTAAATGTAATAATAACTGCATGCAAACTTTAGTGATCTAGAGAATCTTTACTCCTTCAGTTAAGAAAAGTAAAAGTTCTTACAAGGTATTTGCAGAAATTGTCAAGAACTGTTATGAGACTGCAAGTTGTTTTGACTTCCTTATCACTATGATGTTATTTTAAGATGAAACGTGTACAGGTGGCTTTGTAATAGCAGCACCGCATATTGAAGATTACACCATGAAAATGGGAATTGCCGCAAGCCATGTCTTATGGAAACTGGAAAATCCTAAAATATGAAATAACATCTTAATAAATATTAAATATGTAAAATAAATGTTACATAATAAAATACATATTATTATTGGTAGCAGAAATAAAAAGAGCTTTCATTTCCTAATGCTAGGTGATAAATTGAAGAATAGTTATGGCAATAATTATCACAGAAACAAATCCTGCCATAGTTTTGGTGGCTTGCCCTGGCAATAAATCAAGTTTGTATATAGTTTCATAGAGTTATTCATTCTTAAAAATATATTGCCTTTTTTGAAAAGAAAATTATGCTTATTTTCTGTTCTAGTTTTTTTCTGAAGGCATGTTTTTCACATTAGAATATCAGATACATTACTGAATTTTATTGCATATTGAATTTTATTCAATATAGCGCTATGGTAGAATTGAGTGAATTGCACATGCTTGGGAGATTTCTTTTTTGATTAAGACCGGTTACCAAAACAATGTTATTTTGTTTCCTGGGTTTTCTGAGAAATCTCTGTAATATATCAGGTATATAAAAAGCTGAAGAAAAGTGCAATATGCTTTATCGCTGAGTGATATGTTGATCTAATCTACCTACCCATCATAAGCCGTTCCTATTCCTAGTCCAAAATTACCTATGTGCACTATTAGCTATTAACAGCAATTGGGAAATTTATGCTTTTTAGTAAAATTGCTTCATCGATATCTAATTGCATTGTGTTTTTCTTTATGCTAGCCAAAGCAGTAACTGAGCAGTGATTCCTGGAATGTGCCAGTAACAATCGCCTAATGAACAAATGCAACCAGAAAGAAGGAAGAGGCACCCCCAGGCTAGCCTTCTCTCATAATTATTCTTATTTGAACACCTTTTATAAATAAGTATAGAGAACGTTTGTACAACAAAAAAGAAAACAACTTTGTATAAGGAAAATAAAAAAACCAGATAAATTAACAGTATTTTCAACATACTATATATAAAACAGTGTGTTTCTCAACCTTGGTAACTTTAAGAAGATGGACTTAAACTCCCAGAATTCCTGATCCCATTCTGGTGGGGGCATTCTGGGAGTTGAAGTTCACCCGTTGTAAAGTTGCCAAGATTGAAAAACACCAATGTAAAATATGTGCAATGGCCATAATCCAAGCCTATGCAGGTTCTGCTGATACTCATTGATTTTAAAGATTTAATGTGCTACACTAAATGACAATATTGTTTTTAGAAACAAAGTATGTATTAGATTTGTTGTTGAAAAAGGGCTGCATATATTTAAAAGATTAGATGCATGCTATGAAGATGCATCATTATATTCTTTGGATATTTTGTATTTAGAAAGGAAAATTTTGAAAACCATTATCCAGATAGATAGATAGAAAGATAGATAAATAGATAGATAGATAGATAGATAGATAGATAGATAGATAGATAGATATGTTAAAGTGGATAATGGTTTTGTGACCATAATCAGGTGTAATTTTATTGAAGTAATCAACATTTTAATAATTCCAGATTTCATACAAATACAAAAATATGCAAAAGATGGACCCATTTGAATAAATTATATAGCCTATTATAATTGAGAATCATTATAAACCTCTGTCCTACATAACATCACCTATCTAGCAACTCTGTCCACCTGTTGTAAAAAGAAATCCATTTTTTAATATCATCTTTGAGTTTAGGTAATGAAATCTTTGAGTTTAGGCAATGAAATCGGCTCAGTCCAGTTCCTATCCCAATGTAAATGCAATTCTCATGCAATTTCTCCTCCAGCACTAAGATACATATGCATACATTCCCCACATTTGTCACAGAGAAGGCATATGTTATGCACAAAATCTAAATTGTTTTTTATATAAAAAAGACTTGCTGTGGTACATCTGTCTGCATAAGCTGTTCATTTTCGATCCCACTAGGAAGTATTCCATCCAAAAGGTCCTGCCTCCACAACGGGCTCAGCTCACCCACTTTAAAGCAAAATATTTAAAATAACTGATACAATTATTAATATATCATTTTACTCAAATATTTATTTTCTTAATATCTGTATTTTCAAAAGCAGTAAAAATGACTTATTGTCAACTATTTATAATTTGCTGTATTGCCCAGACAATTAAAATATTAAGTATAAGATTTCTCTTCTTAGACAAAAAAGCTAATAAAAGCTGATGTTTTTTTCTTTTAACTGAAGGCTTGTGTGCTATATTAAAAATGTGAGCTGACAGCTGTGTAGTATCTTGTTCATACTACTGCAGAAGTGAGTGTACTACAGCCAGTGCTCTCTTTTTATACCAATTCTATAATCCTAATCATCCAGAATAAAGTAAATATGGATTTAAGCCAAGGCGGTCTCACATTTAGTTTGGAGACCAGATTGGCCTCTGGAAGGCCTCTTCAGACCTGCATTAAATGTCAGGGCACCTTCTCCCATATCTATCTCACTCTTACAGGGGAAAAGAGATTTGATCCTGCTCCCCAACTGTGATCTGAGGTGCTGTGTCTCTGCCAGTAATATCAGCAGGCAAAGAGCAGCTTTACGAGGGCAACTGTAGGGATACGAAGATGTTTTAAACTCTTCCATTCCTCCATTGCAATAATTCTGGCATGAGGGAGACGGCAAAAACAGCTGCCAAATCCTCAAATATTTCCTTGCTGTTAACAGGGTCAGTTTTGGAATGAAAATTAATTTCACCCCTACAGACCAATCCTGGTGAAGATTGCACAATAGGTCATAAAAGGATTGTTTTTTCGTGGCTCAACACAGTCTGTGTGATATGGGATGTGGATTGAAATTAGTGAATTGGTGCAGAGAGAAATATGGCTGTTCATCACAAGATTAGTGTAGTTTTCTAGAAGCCACAGGGTGCCTATGTGTAATAGAAATTGTTTCCTTAAAATTGGCTTATAACTATCCCTACATATAAGCCTTAGTGTATTTTTATTAGAAAATCCCAGTCTAAATTATTGAGACATTCATACCGATAGCTGTTATAGAGATGCAACTAAAGTTGCAAAATCTTTTACATAAAAGATAAAACCTGTAGTTTTCAGCTGGTTACTGCATGGCTTAGTACAGGGCTGTCAAACTTGCGGCCTGTGGTCTGGATGTGTCACGCGCTGGCCACGTGCATGCCCAGTATAGTGAAGGGAAGGAAAGTTGTGATATATCACATGACGCCGCCGTGACTATGTGAGCTTGACACCCCACAATGCACAAACTTAAGGAAATTCCTAAAATTTACTGTTAAAACACATTGTATATGGAGAACAGAATTTCACAGGTAGCAAAGAGTCTGTATTCATGATTTTCTATACATCCTTATAAGCATGGCTATGAATGATGTATTTACATTTTGATGATTTATATCAATGTAGAGAGAATGTAATATAAGAGGAGTTCATGTGTGAAAAAAAGCCTCCATGCTGGCTTTCCAAACTAAGATTTGCAGAGAACTACATCTTGTCCTTTATTTGATGTTTGTTCTTTGAAGAGGCACACACTACATAGCAAACTAATTTTGAGAGTTTGAGGTACTTTAAAAATCTCTTTGTGATGTTGCCTTGCAGCTACCGTTCAATGAAGAAATCTTTCTAGAAGAAGGAAACCCTTTCCGTATTACAGTCCATACTTTTTATGTATTTATTTGTAGAAGTGATTCCCACTTATTTGTTTCAGATTAGAATGGAATTATTATAACAGATGTGGAAAATTCAAATATCCACGAATAAACACTAAAACACTAATACTCAATACCTTGAGAAGCACATACAGCTCCATGTGAAAAACAGGCTAATTTAATTTAAACCAAGATCGGAATGAAGTAACATCATCTCATTTTACATTTGTAAAAGTCAGTGATTGTTTTCTGTGTTTAGACAAATTTCTCCACCTATCCAAAATGATAACATAATTTTTCTTACAGCAAAATTGACTCTCAAAAAATTTATAAAAATGATTATGTTAACTTTTCCCTTATATTAATTGTGTTTGTTGAAATCTAACACTGCATTGCTAATTGTTTCCTTAAAGTTGGTCAACAATATGTAATTGGGCATATTTATTCTAGCAACTAAAGAAGAATTACATAAAGAAAAACACTAATTTTTTGTTTTCCTTTCTGTCATTAAGAGATACAATTTCTACCTGACTGTGTCTTTGATCAAATAGTAACTGAATTGAAAATTATTTTTTGAACTTGTATTCTATTTTGGCTATATTTAGAAACTATTCTTGATAAATGTATTTAGAAAATGCAATCTATTTTAATTGAATACTGCCAATGTCAAGCATGTAACATTTTGTCAAAATGATATTCTTTTATTTTTTTTCTTTATTAAAATGTTTTGCAAGAAATTATTAATTTAAATGAAATGTAACAATTTGGAGACAATATATATGTACATATTAAACTGTTAACATTATATTTGATGTGCCTTTGGACTTTTGACATTTGTTCTTCAAATTTTGGCTACAATTGAATTTGGATTTGATTTTTACTGTCAGATTGAACTACATCACAGTTTTTCTCTGCCTTCATCCCACAGGATTGCACGTCTTTTGTATCCCTAGCATAGAACTCAAGTAAGTTGTTGAGTTCCTTGGCCAAACCATCCAGTGGGCCACTGATTCCTTACCTCTATGTTACAGACGTTGTGCTTCTTAATGATATTATATTAAAACTTCTTCATGAAATATGGATTGGAAATAGCTTTTGCTTAATTTGTAAGAGCTTTGCAAACATCAGTTTATCTCTTGGGTTAGGAAAAGGTCCATGAGATTCAGAAACATATCTCAGCACTGTCACTATTTTTTTTATTTATCTCATTAATTTTAAATTGCGCTCTTCCAGCAAAAATTTTCTGGTAAATGTTCACTTCCATTTCCAATCTGAGTTTCCCAATTTGCAGGCAGTGTTTTCCTGTCTGCATATAACTTGGGTTCACATTAAGGAGCACTGTGAATGTATTGCTGCTTATTCCCATTTATAAGCAACAATGAAGTATATTTTACTTTATTTTTATTTTATTTGTAGGGTTTCCTGCCTGAGCAAGGGAGAGCTAGAAGACCTCAAAGGTCCCTTCCAATCCCGTTATTTTATATATATAGGCTGTCCTTGTTTTTTTTTGCTTAATTATTATTATTCGTCTTTTAATGACCTTATAATCCTTTGCATTGGGGTGGAGTCGGGGCAACTGAATGGAGTTGAGCGTTGCCTCCCTGTCGCCAATGCAGAGTTTGCAGCTGATATTTACTCATTGTGTCCAGAAAGAAAAATATCTGCTGCTACCTCAGGACCTTTCAAAATTATGAAAAAAATGCTGACACAATGTTTAAAAAAGTGACTTAGGACCAGTTCTCACACTTGTGAACATTGCGATGTCCCCACAGTTACATGATCAAAATTTGGATGCCTGGCAATCCTCATGTTGATCATGGTTGCCTCATCCTGAGGTCACGTGATCACCAATTGCAACCTTCTCAGGGTGTTTCAACAAACAAAACCAACGGGGCAAGCTGGATTCACTTAATTATGTGATTTGCCTCACGCTTGTGTGATTCGCTGAACCACCGCAGCAAAAACATTGTAAAATCAGGTGCAACTCGCTTAACAACCAGGTTGCTGAGTGACAGCAGCTTCAAGTCCCAATTATGGTCATAAGTCAAGATGACCTGTACTGTTTATGCTCACTTTGGGATTGAGAATTCTTTAATTTACAACTTTAATCATTATCAGACTGATTATGGCAAACTACTTGCCCCTGTGCTAGTGCAGCTTTCTGCCCCAACAAAGATTTTTTAAAAACTGAACTGCATTTACATAGTTTCAGAATAAACAACAGCTAATAGAAAAGGTTTTCTCCAACTCTGTGAATTAATGTTGTCATGCTTGCAAGAGCACAGCTTCAGAGATCAGGAAAGCATGTTTTTGAGGCTTCACTCTCCTTGATTTCTAGCTGTCTTCTTTTAAAGTATTTGCAAATGATGTGCGTGTGTGTGTGTGTGTGTGTGTTACAGAGTTATCAGAAGCACAGAAAAGACACAAAAACATTGTGATGTGATTTTGCCTGATCAATCTTGCTATTGCTGAGGTGCGTTCAAAAGACGAAGACTTTTACTGCCTACTAGCTAAAGTAACCTTTCTTTACAAAGGAAAAGCACAAAATGTACATACATCACAGCGACTGGAATTCTGTTTGAACAAGTCTATTGATTGGGCCTGACCTCTTTTTTACACTCCCCCCCCCCCCTATTATTTGAAAAGGTGCATCTAAGTCTGGCTGAATTGAACCAACTGCAGTGAACTTTCTATGAAAACTTCTTGAGATATTTCTTTTAGTTCAAAGCTTTGGGATTTTTAAAGGGCATTTTTAATACAGCCTGTTGAGGTATTCTGTGTTCAAGCCACACTTTGAATGTTTTAAACTACAGGTAAGTCTGAGAAGAAGGGGAAATGAAGGCATTACAGTAGAATCATGATCTGGGGAAGGGAAGGAAACCTTTTGACCCATGGAATAAATAAAAATGTCAAATAATGCTTTGAGAGAGAACTTTGTTCTAGTCTATGCGGCATTAGTGTGGGGCTTCAGAACAATTATTTAGAAAGTACCTAAGAAATGTATTCACTGAACTGCATTGTGATTCTTCACTAAAGCATGCTTCCAGGACTCCAGAGTTCAGCTATTACTAACAAAAGAGATCACATCTGCACATCTGAAACTTGTTAAAGTACTGTAAACCATTGTGCTGCATCATAACCACATGAACATATAGGTGCAGACACCGATTCTACCAGCAAAATATGTTTAACTTCTGAAGTATCTAAGATCTAATCATAAATTGAATTTTAAAAAACAAACTCTTGCTTTCCTATTTTAATTGGCATTTCAATTAATGGTGTCTTTAAATATCAGTTCAGATAATTTTGAGACAAAATTCTTGTATGGAGAAATGGAATATGAGTAAATAGATTATTCTGTTAACAGAAAACAACTCTCACCCTGCAAGTCATATATAGATTTATCTGGAAATTGCTTACACTCAGGAGAGAGAGAGGGAAGGAAGGAAGGAAGGAAGGAAGGAAGGAAGGAAGGAAGGAAGGAAGGAAGGAAGGAAGGAAGGAAGGAAGGAAGGAAGGAGAAAGAAAAAAATAGAAATAGATAGATAGATGATAGATAGATAGATAGATAGATAGATAGATAGATAGATAGATAGATAGATAGATACCGAAAGATAGATACCGAAAGATAGACAGAGAGATAGAGAGATGATAGATGATAGATAATATAAATAGAGATAAAGATATTAGAATGTGTGATAAAACATTTCTAAAATACTGAAATATAGTATATGTAAATACTTATAAAAACTTCAAATTGCTGGAAAGTTTGTCATATCTAGAAAGCTATGCTTTTGGCTGTCATGTATATTAGATTTAATAATGAGAGTATTTGGCTTGGATTTCAATGTTTATAGGGAAGCTTTAAAGTTTTTAAACATTTTTCAAACCTTTGTAACAATTAGAATGCTATATACTATAGAGAGAATCTATTATCTCAGTTTAATTCATGTTAAATATGGAGAACTATACTATAATATTTCAAACTATAGTGAAATTACTAGTATTGGAATCTATGTTTTTATCCCCAACACTATTCTTTATGAGAGAGAGGGAGAGACAGAGACAAAGAGAAAGGGAAAGGGAAAGCACTTATGTATTCTTGTCAAGAAAAAGACGGATATGTCTACAAAGTCACCAGAAATAGATCCTGAGTCAAAGGAGATGCTATTTTTTAAATCAACATATTTAATCAGAAGATGTTTAAGACAGTTTAAGAAAAAGATTTGACATTGGGGAGGTGGGTCAGAATTTTAATGAAGACAACCTTGGCCGTTCTGACAAAAAAACTTTCTTTGCTAAATGAAATCCCTCTTGTTCGTCTTCATTTCTCAGTTGCCTTTAATACAATCACCCACAGAGACTTGAGTAAGACAAGAAAAGGTAACACAATATTTTTATTCAGCAAAGTTGGTTACAAAAACATTTGGGAATCATGACTTTACACTGTTACATTTGTTGACAAAACCCCACAAGGATCTATTTCTCTTTTATGCTTTTTAACATCTGAAGCAGCTGAATGAGGTAATCTGAGATGTAAATCTATAAAAAAAATGGGAGAACACATCGTTGCCAATGCTATATTCATTGCAAATTATTCTTTATTTTGCTCAGTCATTTTACTTTTAAATTTTGATATTTGAAACTGGCTGAAACCGTTTGAGCTCCTCTGTTTTATTGCAGTTATATTTGGTTTATTTTGGTTTTCATTGCACTGAATATTTGATTTTTTAAAATATGCTCCATAAACATATTTTTATATGGTGTACTTTATAGATTTGAGAAATATGAAGAACTAACTTAGTAGTATCCCTCAATATCCATATTGTCCTAACCGCAATATAGAAAGAAACTTCAGATCTGGTTTGGAATTAGACTGGTATGTGGTCATGCTAATTACAACCAACAGTATAATAGATCTGATTTTGTTTTCTCTCAGCTTTTTGTTTTGTAGTACTTCATTTTTTACAGTTCCATACCCGTTGTACACTGGTGAGAGTCCACCAGTGGGTGGCTTTAGAATCTGAAAAAATAAATATAACTATATTATAACTTAGTGCTATGTGTGAATGCTGCCATTCTCTGACCACCTAATTCCAGATGCCACCTAGAAAGAAAAGCAGGCTTTGCAAAGATGCAAGACAAAACAGAAAATGCAACAACTGCAAATGTTTGATGGAGGGGGAACATGTACAAAAAGACTAAAACCTGAATGATATAACTGGTAATTATCAAGACTGTCACTGAAACCAGCCTGTGGTACACTATTTCATTGATGGTATATGTGTACAGTGCAAGTATTTTGGTATGTTCATTTACTTTCTTATCATACATTGGCCACAGAAGCCTAAATTTCTCCTAGTTTCTTAAGAAATAATAAAACAAATGATAAAAAGAACGTCATAACTTCTTTCTCACTCTGTCATTTTTTAAAAAAAATCCCATCAACTGACTTGAAGAGCAGACTTTACTGCCTCTACATTATTTTTAGTAATGAATCTTTTCTCACAAGGCTGTCATGAAATGAGGAAAGCAGAATATTGTTTCTAAACAGTTTGGCTGCTTTAGTTCCAGGCCCGTTTGTCTTCTTTCGAATGAATCTTCATCATGATTATCAAGCTTCTACAGTACCAACAACCTTGTGGTGAAGGATGTGGCTCCTTTTCAGATGCCATGCGCAAAGGCTTGAAGTTTCAGGTGAAAGTTTGATAAAAGGAGAATACTTTCTTCAAATCAAACACATCTCCTGGCCCCTCCATCTTTGCTGAGGCACTTGCTTCCTATGTTTCTCCCAATGCTTCATAAGGCCTCAAAGCGAATAAAGATGCCAAGCTTTGATTAAGAAACCCAGCCGGGGCATTGATTCTCTTTGTCTCCATGTTATAGAGGCAGCTTCAGTGCATAATTTAATCTCTTCAGGGAACTGTGGTGAATCCACAAGAGATTTCCACCAGCAGCCCTCCTTGACATGAGAACTAGCATGCACATGATCTTTGATGTGAATTCCCTAACCATAGCCTGAGAAGGACCTGTGGCCTTTGATGCTGCCCTAAAAATTGGGCTTTCTGAAAGAAACTTTGAGCCTCCTTTCTTAGAAACACCTGATGAGATCCTATTTTCTGAGGCCATAGAAGGGTTTT